CCGCCATATTGGACAGCGTTGGTTTAATGGAACAGGCCGGTTTATTAAAATTGGTTCGACATGAGCAAAAACTAATTAGCAGGTGAATAAAATGGAGTGTTTACCGCTACTACGGCATGCGCCTTACCCTTCTATTATTCTTCCATTCCTAATGTTGTGCGGGTTCCCTTTCCCCAATATTCCATATTTATTAAAATATAAGCCACCTAGGATAGAGAAAAAGCCTGTGAGGCTAATCAGACTACTGGATATGCCAAAAAACGTTCAAGGAACAAGATAAGAAGCAGGGGACCCATTCAGACGAAAGTTTGGAAAAAGAAGGAATGTAGCATTACTAGAATGCTAAAATAGGCACATATGAAATGCATTTGTCCTTCTGGTTCAGGAGGAATGTGGGGGTATGGTACATCGGGTGTGGGTTACTGTTGACTTGGACTACCCAAAACATAAATATTATCAAAATCCCTGACTTCAACATTTTTTTCATGTATACGTGTTTTCAGGTATACGTTGATTTTCAGAGAAATATTCTATACTTTGCTATATATGACCGACTAGGTCCCCCTGATTCGGCGGCAAGTGTTGCGGGTCCGTACCCAAATTGCGTGTAGATTCATATTCTGAACTCATTTGGGTCAGACAGTATGGTCCCAAGCCCAGAAAAAGTGAATTTTCAAGAAAAAACCGAAAAAATCAACAAAATCGTGAAATTTAGGTAGGAAGACGGGTAGTTGGAATTTCGTTCTGAACACAAAAAATTGTCAAAATGATACCAGTAATCGATATCCGATTAGATCTCGTTGATATCTCATTCAGGAAATTTTTTTCCAAAATATCGATTTTTCGAATTTTCTAGAAAGCAAGGGGGCGGGGCGAGCCAAAAAGTATATGAAAGTATTTAGGAGAGTTTAGGTATCCATCATATAGAAAACCATTTGAAACGGACCCTTCTGAAATTTCTGTACAGCACGTTGCTCGACTTTCTGGGAGAATCTTAAAGGCGCATGCACCCAAAATGTATCGTATCTCGGCCAATTTTGTAAATTAGCAAATTTTGAAAACAGATTCGGAATCAGCAAAAAATTTCGGTTCGAATGAGTATAAACATGGATAGGTTCTGATATGTTTTAGTTTTTACTTTAAAGGCGCATGTATCTTCTAACTTCTGTATCCCTGCCAGTTTTGATATTTAGCAATTTCTGAAAGCAGATTCAAATGCAGCGAAAATTTTCGCTTCTATTGATTTCAAACAACACTCTGCTCCGAAAAATTTGAATTTTCACTACACACATTTCAGGCAACGAACTTCGCTTCTACGTTGACGGAATCGAAGTCGAAGCAGATCCGCCACCAACAATCTTTCAACGTTTGAAGAGAGTTCTCAAGTCAACTCCAAAACAAAAACGACCAAAGGATCCGGAAGTGGTCCGTGAAGAAGTCAGAACATTCGTCTATGACAACATGGAGATTGTGGGTGGCTTCAAACAAATTCAGAAGAGCATTCACTACTTTTTGGAGGTTTTTGAATTTTTTCATCTCTTGTCTCTGAAAAAAATTGAACCTTCAGGTCAACGGAAAACCTCTGAAAGACTACAAGGAGCTGTTCTTCAAGTGGAATAATGTCTGGAGTATGAATGTCGATGGCAGAAATGTCCGGGTCGTTCTGGATAAGAACAATCTGTTCTTGTACGAGAATGGAAGCGTCATTGAGAATATTCAGGTGGGAATTCTTATGGGATGCGCCTTTAAGGTTTTTTTTCAAATTTCAGAGATCACCCTCGTCATGGAAGTTCAACATCAATGAGTCCACTCCATGCAAGATTGTGGTTCGTGATGATGAGGGGTAAGTCGTAATCTCTATGCCCTTCACCTCTTCTCTCGTTTGCTGTACCCGCGGCCTAGCGGTTAGAGCGGTTGCCTTTGAATCTCTAGTCGCGGGTTCAATCCCCACTGGGGCAAAATCTTTTTTTCTTTTTTTCTTTTCGGGATGATGAAGAGTAAGATATTTTGCTTCTATTCGTCCTTGTTGCTCGGGTTTTTGGGGCTCATCTCGAACTAGAAAGTAGACCGCTCAGTTCTCTATGCCTTTCCCCCCTACTTCGTTTTCTATCTCTGCGGCCTAGCGGTTAGCGCGCCCGCCTTCGAATCTGTAGTCGGGGTTCATTCCCCTCAGTGGCAAAATCTTTTTTTCTTTTTTTTTCTCTCCTATTTTCATGGTTTTTCTTCCAGAACCGGCCCCTACTACGCACTCTACATGAATGACAATCCCGTCGAAGCTACCGTCAACTTGGATGGAGAAGTTGTCATCCGTCACCCATGCCAGGAGATGGAAGCGGCCTGGAAGAACCTTGATTGATCCCTTGGCTCATAATAAATGCCGACTCCTCTGTAGTTTTGCTTGTTTACACCACCAAAAATCTTGTGATTCTCTAATTACTACTAAACTACATCCTTGTGTACAGCTATACACCCACTAAAAATCTTGTGATAATAATTAGAGGCTTTCCGAAAATTATTTTGTTTTTCCCCTTCTCTTCAAAATATCAAATTCTTCGAAAACCGACATCACTTCTCTCTCCGTTACTCATTCCCATTTTCACCTGATAGCAATTCTCCATTTTCACCTGATTTCTCTCTGAATAAAACAAGGAAGTATATAAACTCGAAACTCGCTTTTTCTACAGAAAAAAATGATTCCGGTTATGATACATGGGATGGACTATTTGGCGACCAGCATCGTGTGGAACATCCCAGTTGGTGGGGGAGTTCGTCAGGTCCAACTGGATCACTCATTTTTTAGCCGTAAAGTTGAATTGTTCTTGGATGGGGAGGTAAGTGTACCTTAAAGGCGCATCTGCTTAGTCAAAAATAGATATCCTTGGTCCTTCTAGAAACAACTCGAACACGTCGGCAACATGAGAAGAATCCCTCAAAGATTCCCCTTCAAAATCGGCACCATGGAGTGCTCGCCAGCAATCGTCAAGACCGATAACGTCTTCGGATACTCGATTGAGGTAAACGCCCCAAAACTTTTAAGTAAATTTCAATTTCCCATAAATTCAGGTTGACTCGAAGCCTCTACCAGTATACAAGGAGCAGTACCAAAAGAAGTTCGACACGTGGCTCCCAAAAATCGATGGGCAGGTCTTTCGAGTTGTGTTGGGTAGGGAAGACTCAGAATTTCGCTTGTAAGGGATGTATGTTTTTGCAGATAAAGTATTATTGGATTTGTACTCGAATGGGGAGAAGATTGAGAACGATGTAAGTTCAGATCGTTTGCCTTATAGGTGGTGGAACAGGAAAGCTACGGGGACTTTTTAGGAGACTTTTTGTGCATTTTTGCGTGAGCGTGTTGCAGCTCATGGTGAATTTTTTATACGTGATTTCAAAAGGTTTCATTCGCGGGCTCTGTCTTACTGTAGGGTCGCATGCCAACTGCGTGGCGACTCAGCGATACGTAGGCATTCGCCTCAAATTTACCGTGACACGTTCACGCGAAAATGCACAAAAAGTCTCCGTAAATGTCCCCGTAGCTTTCCTGTTCCACCACCTTCAAATGGTCCGAAACTTCAAGCTAAAAATTCCAGAGACAATTCATGGACAACGGCGCAGTCACCTATTTCAAGCTGGCCAACGTACCATGCCGTATTGAAGCCCAGAAAACCGAGAAATCCATCGCCAACATCTTCTATACCCCCGAGGGATCGGTCCCATTGGACACCAAACAGGATGCGGAGACCTTCAAGTTCGATGCTGAGCGTTTCTTCAATTCCGGATTTGATAACCTTTAATCTCTCATTTTTTGAACTCAGAACCACTCTAATGTATCTAAGAATCACAAGACAACGCCCCCGTGGTGTGTAATCCTTAATTATAATACCCAATGACAATAAATATATTTTTCGAAAACGTTTTCCCAACAGCAAAACAAAATTCGGAGTTTCCAATAGCAACTCCCCACTTCATTTTTTTTCTTTTTCTTTTTTTTTCGTTTCGAGACCCAACAAACTTTACAGGATGGCCTTCCCTCAATACCCTCACGGCTATTTATACGGGAATGTCTCGTGGACGGTGCCGATCGGCACTCAACTTCGCGAGCTGAACGTGGTTCACGACATAGTGCATCGGTCGATTTTCATCAATAAAACGGTAACAAGTTCTTGAAACCTTAAAGGCGCATGACTTTTTCTTCCAGCCACTATCCGGAAAAATCGATATGGAGCACGGGAGAACGATGCCTTTTATACTCGCCGGGAAGATGTGTTCGATGACACTCGCAAGGGATGGGAATGTGTTCACCTACACGTTGAAGGTGATTTCATAGTTTGTAGTTTTTGTAGTTTGTAGTCTGAATTACAGATTGAGGACGACAGTTTTGAGGCGTACAAGGAGAAGTATCAAAAGGAATTTGAGATGTGGAAGATGAACATAGACGGTACAGATTGGGTGGTGGTTCTAGGTAAGGTCCCTTGAACACGATGGTCCAAGCCACGCCCCCTTTCAGCCAAAAAGGCAGCTCAAAATTCCTTGTATTTTTCAGACAAAAACGCAATGGAAGTCTTCGGAAACGGGGAGAAGTTGACGACTGAGGTTACTACCTGCAGTACCAATTATACCTCCAAAGTAAAAAAAATTGCAGAGTGTCTTCGAGGGCAACGGAACCGTCATCAGCTTCAATTTTGGTCAAAATCAATGCCGAATTGAGTCAGCTGGGGCTTCAAAGGTACAATTGGTCTGCAACTTCTACAAGAACAACGAGCTGGTTCCGACGCTTCTCAGTCTCGACGACCCTGGCGAAAAACGTCATAACGCCGAGAGAGTCTTCAAGTCGAGATTCCTTGAAGTGTAGATTCATATTTTTGTGATTTATTGTTGATTAAACAAATCTGAATAAAGTTATATAAACAATGAAAAATGACTATATGCGTATTGAATTTTGAGTTTTTTTCAAAGAAGAATATCAAAATTTCACAAATTTTGGGTTTTCAATTTTTTCAACCGTGTTCTTCGTGTTCTTTTAAATTTATAGAGTTTTCACCAGAAAATCAGAAATACTAGTGAACTAGAGACGAGATGAAAAGAAACCATGCCCAATTTGTACCACAAATTCGGAAAATTGAAACAGATTGTCGCTAAACTTGTTTGTTTCGCTCTCTAGACGCGTTGTTTTTGAAAAATAGCTTCAAAGGCCAGTTCCAGAAATTTCCCGATTTTACCTGGTTTTTTCGACCGGGGAACATTTTTCCCGAAATCTTTCCCGAAGATGCCAAATTGTAGAGAAAGAAAATTATCTATCGAATGGTATAAATTTCACATGATATCATCTCAGAAAGTCCCTGTCAAGCTGGAAAAATCACATTTTTTGTGCTGAGAGCTGTTGTTTTTCAGCTTGTTGGCGCGTATTTTCTGAAACTACGCTATATGAAAAGTATATTATTCGATAGATAATTTTTTTTCTCTACAATTTCAAGGGTTTCTCGCGAGTTCGCAGAAGCCAAGGTTCCCGCGAGTACGCAGAAGCTGGGTTCTATTTCAGCAGGCCCTGATTTGAGGTTTGTATGTTGACCCCGTGACGCAACGGATATTTTCGAATTTTTCAATGCGGGTTTGAATCTTTTTCAAGTTTTCTTGAATCGTGTTTCCCTTATTGCTTCTGGGTTTTCGAAATACAAATCTAACCACTACACAAGCCATGAAGCCATCTAGTGAGCAAATATGATTTATGGCTTTGCATTCAGTTTTTTTCGACGTCATTTTTCATTTTTTCAATCTAATCTCCATCTTTTCCAACACAAAGCTAAACTTCTCATTAACTTTTCTTCGTTTTGTTTTCACATTTTCACCTGCCTCCTCCTCTCCTGCTCCTTCCCCTCTTTCCCTCGTCCTGCCAAGCTCCTGAAACCCCAGTGTCCCTCCACTTTTCCCTCATAATCTCGATTTTATGAGACGAGAGCAAAAAGGGAGCACGTCTCTTTCCATGCACTATTTCCATAGTTTCCATGGTGACGGCCCTGGAAGGAGGGGGAGGGGCGGCCGCAAGAGGGTGCCCCTCCCTTTCATTTCTCTCATATTTTGTTTTTGAAATAAATTAATTTAGTGGCTAATAGAGCTAGTAGAAGAATTAGGGAAGTTTCCAAAAAAAAAAATTGGAAAAAATCCCACGACCCCTTGGAATATTCTCATGTTCTTGAGAAACATTTCGTCAGAAACATAGCGAGCGTGAGAATTTTCTCATTTTGGATTTCTCATGAGCTTTTTTGCCCTTTTTGCACTTTACTGAACCCGTTTCCAGGCGAAACCTGCCGCCTCCTATCACAATGCCTGACGCGGACGTCGTTGCCACGTGGAATGTCCCGCTGCACGCTCAAGTGCACAAGGTGGAATTCGAGCATGGCACCACGACGGGCAAGCGGGTGATTCGGATCGATGGAAAGGAGATTCTTCGGCGGGACTGGATGTTCAAGCTGGTGGGAAAGGAGACTTTCAAGCTGGGCGAGATGCAGTGTACCATTAGTGTGGAAGCGCTGGGCACATTCGCCTATGAGTATACTTTGGATGTAAGTTTTTTTGTCGAAAAAAAAAAGAAAAAAAAAAGAATTGACCCCCATGGGGGTTGAACTCGCGTTGAATATTTACTAGCCAGCAGTGCTAACCGCTAGGCCGCGAGGTGGCAAAGCGGAACATAGGGAAGAGGCAGAGATAACCTTTCTTCTTTTTCAGGTCAACGGAAAAACGTTCGACAAGTTCAAAGAGGAGCAAAACAAGAAGCTGCACAGTTGGGAGACCACCATCGGTGGGCATGAGTGGCGGGTGGTGCTAGGTAAGTAGAATTTTCTGGAAAGAGCTCTATCCAGATTTTCAGACAAAGAATCCATGGAGGTATGGGCAAATGGTAACAATATCGTTACTGCTGTAAGTGTCTTCTAGGACCGTTTCTTGAATCTCGGATCGAATTTTCA